TTTAATTTGTGTTGAATCTCTGAACGAATTAAATTTTCACCCTTAAAGGCTAATTGGTAAGTTTTACAAGTGATGGCTAAGATGGGTAAATATGAGCGAATTGGCGATATTTTAATTTTCAGTAGCTCTTACTGATGCTGAAAGGTACATATTGTATTTCCACTCATTTCACAATACATTATTTTGTGGTTTATCTGATATCAAGTTTTCCTCTGTCATTGCAATGGTATTTATTCTTATAACTTCTGAAAAGTATTCTAAACGAGCATTGCAAACGTTTGGAATGTGGTCATTTTTTAAATACAAATGTCGAATAATGAAATATCTAATATGAAAATGTTCAAGTTATCATAAGTCATTGGTATAATATCAATATTATTATTTGATTATATGAAGTTCAAAAATAAGTTTTAATATTTGCTCTAATGAGTAGAGGAGAACCTTCCAAGATTTGAAAAAAATCTCTTTAGGCTGTCAAATTTGTCATTATTGAATTGCATCTTCTTCTACCATTTTCAAAATAAATGAATTAACATTTATTCGGGTGAATTCTGGCATCAAGGTATATTAATACTAAGTATATTAATACCATTCTTAGACCATACAGAAGGCAAGAATGTACCGGTTTACAAAAACAAGACTAAGAGAATAAAAATAGGAATTCACGTGTTGAATTTAATAGGAATATATACACCAGTAGAGGAAAGGTAAGAAGAAATGATTAGCTTTTATAAAGAGCTACAGATATTGGTAGATATGACCAACAAGGAGGAGTTCCTTATCATAGCAGGAGATCTCAATGCTAGAATTGGAGAAACCAAAATGCATGACATGAAGGAGAGAAGGCACTCAATGAAAATGGGAAAACACTTGTAAACTTCTGTTTCTTCAACAATCTAGGAATCACTAAAAGCTTCTTTAAATCAAACAAAAAACTTAAATTTACATGGGAGGTGAGAGGCAAGAATTCCATTATTGATTATATAATTGTCAGTGAAAATCTTTTCAATAAAGTTAAGAATACAAAGAAGAAAAATCGATTCTGATCATCATCTTTTAGAAAGCAAAATTCAACTGAACTCGCAAAAAAACTTTGCAAGAAGAAGAAATGGTTTAGGAAATGAGACATTGAAGTTAAAGAAATAATAGCCCAGAAGAAACAAGCTTACAGGATCTACCTGTAAAAACGAACATTAAAACATTACATAGAACAATACAAGAAAGTTAGGGCCAAAATAAGACCACTTAGCTGAAGATACAGAAGAGAGAATTGGAGAACATATATTAAAAGCCTAGAGAGAAACATCATGGATCGTCAGAGAATAGGGTTCAAAATTCTGAAACATCTCAATATGAATACAAAAGATACAATCTCGCTGAACAACATCCCAGAGGAAGATTGGATCAAACACTATCACACACTTTGTAACAACAAAAAAGGTTGTCTCAACAGGAAGGAAAAAGAAACAGAACAGTACATTGACAATCACATAAATAACCTAATAAAAATGTCAGAACTTCAAACAATATTGAGAAAAGCAGAAAACGGACGAAGCCCAGGAACAGATATGGTAAATTTAGAATTAATAAGATATGGGGAAAAGAACTTAATGTAAACCCCACTTGAACTTATCAATAAAAGTTTGCAAGAAACAAATGTACCAACAAATTAGCAAGAAGGACTCATCAGCAATAGTCACAAAAAGGGCTCTAAGAAAGACTGCAACAACTACAGGGGAATCTTTTCTATCAACATCTTCAAAGATTTATGCAAATAACATAAGGAACAGAATCGATAAATTAAGAGAGAAATTCCTGGGTGAGGAACAGAGTGGCTTTGGAAGCAGACGGACACCAAAGCACATTACAAATTGGATAAAAGAAAAGAAGTAAACCTACCTATATTTGTAATGTTTGTGGACTATGAAAAAGCATATGACAGTTGATAAGAAGAAATTATGAGAAATCTTTGAAGAGGAGAAAATCTCACATCATTTAATTAAAGCAGTACAAAGCCTTTATGAAAAATCAGAATGAAAGTATAGCTAGGAAAGGGGAGAAACTCAACACCAATAACAAATAGCAGTGGCTTCAGACAAGGCTGAGATTTACCACTGCCTTACTCTCTTCAACATCTATATTAACCACTTAATAGGATAAATCACGGAATTTTAATCAAAGGAGATAGAAAAATTGACACAATTCTGTATGCAGAATACCAGGTAAGGGTAGCAGAATCCAAAGACAACTTCCAGAGGCAATTTTTTAACCATCAAAAGTTATAGAGAAATATTCCATGAGAATATCAATAAGCAAAACAAAATCCATGGCCTTGCCAAGAAAAGAATAAAGCAGAGTTAAAATTAGGGGGAAATAGTGCAGCAAATAAGAGAATTCACTTACCTAGGAAACAGAATCAAGACACTAAACCACACTCAAGGAGACGTCAAGAGAAAACTACATAATTACTACAGAATGTGTGGAACCATTAAAAAACACTTTAGGAAGAATTGAAACTTCATAACATCAGAGCTAAACCAACGCTTCTATACGGTTCAAAAACAAGGATAATGAAGGAAAACAACAAGCAAAAAATACAGGTTGCACAAATGACAATTCCAATGGCACCTCTCACGAGTCACAAGAAGACACAGGTTGAGAAACAAGGACATCAGAAGAAAACCAAAAACCTAAAATCTAATAGAAGAGATTGAAGAATCACAAAAGATATGGAAAGAACACATTTACAGGATGGAGAGTAACAGACTATGAAAACGCATTTGGAAATATAAACCCATTGGAAACAGAGACCCTGGAATACCTTTAAAGAGATGGAAAAATCAGAAATGGCTAGAAAATTAATCTACTAGGTCTACTGAACCAGAACAAACAGAAACAGGATCATACCTATACATCTGCAGTTCATTACGATGATGATAATGACGATGAATTGACTTGTATAAAATCCATAATTATGTGTAATAATTATTTCTAAATGTATTTATTTAAATAGATATTAGAATGAGATTACTATTTTGGTTGAGCCATTTTCTTATTATTCTTCTATAGGATTTTTCAAATAATCTATCCCAAACAATTCTTAATAAAAAATATGTTTGCCGGATTCTTCATTACAGATTCAATTCAAGATTCAAAACACATACAGAAACTTTGAATCAAACTGTATTCTTTCAGTATATGTTAGACATTGACTTTATCATTACTAAGGAGAGATATTGTTAATGTAACAAACATTGTAATATGTTGAATGAAAAATAGGCATTTAGTGTGGCAACATACTGTAAATAACTCTGAATAGTAGGAGGATTACAATTTTAGCACAGAACGTGGATTCGGCCGACAATTATGAAGGCTGTTCTATTCCTCATACAAGTTTTTCATGCATTTAATTGCCTGAAGGTATGGATAGATATTTCTCTGAAAAGTCGCTATTAAAAAGTTAAAGACACATATTTAAAAGCTGTTTTTGAGCAATGTTTTTTAAAGAAACCACCATTATGTTTTTACAATAGCAAACTGAAGCCAATATATAAATTTTTAACCTGTGTGTCAACAACAATTTAACTCTTATATTTTTGTTGCACCTTTTTTTCACTTTTTTCAATGCAAGCACCTTCTTACATTGTTTCTCAACATCTTCACATTTTTGCTCCATAAAAAAGGCCTCATTTTTCACATTTATTCCTATAATAATTAAACAAGAAACATTGTTGAAATGACAAGTCTTCCCCTTCCAACTTTCCTATTTCTCTCTAGATGGGATGTATAGATAAAGGCTGCAGGCATCATTCGTAATGTATTTAAGGGTATTTGTAATTTCTTGGAAACTATTACATGAAATGATTCTTTACCTTTAAGAAAGTCAAAGATCTAGTTAGTAAACAAGGATTGCCAGATTAACTTTTTCTTATACTAGGTTATTTTTTCCTGACAACACTGATAAAAACATTGGAGGAGCAGTGTCTTGAGAAAGATGTTCATAGTGGTAGTTTGTTGGATGTGAAAGGTACACTAGAGGGCAGTGGAAAGCGAAGGCTTATCCAAAACCCCTGATGTTGAGAATGTTGTAACAAACAATTATTTAAAGTACTGACTGTAAACTAAATATGCAACACTTTTATCCATTTATGTTTAACATTCCTACTCCCTATACGAGTTACTCAGTTACCAGATAACTTAAAAAACGTTGAAATGTTAAACATAATCTGTCTAAATAGTTTTCTGAACTTTAATAATAAGAATGTTTTCTGGAACTTTCTTGAGACACACTTTTCAATATGTGATTAAATTCTGTGTCTTTATATGTCATGTAATTGGTTTAGGTACAGTTTGTATGAATATTTATATTTAAACTTTGCACCTTTTTCACTACAATTTTGCACCTAAAATTCCAATCACTTGTAATCAGCCTAAATTGTGTTATAAAATATCCTTTGTGTAATTGTGAAATATTTTTAATTACATATAGTTTATTATGAATATTTTTCAGAAATAGTAGTTCCCTTTTAATTTATCTACATTGTATAATATTATTTTTTAAATAATGGTGTGAAGCATCTTTAAAACTGTGGTCAGAGAATTTGATGTTTAGTACTTCTTGTTGGTGATGAAACACAAGGAATAGAATAAACCAATGTGACCTGAAAAATATTTTACTGTGAGTGGACTTACGACTTTAACATTTTTAGATGTATCATAATTTTAAAAATCTATTCGTTATAGTCAATTGTATAGTTACAGCACTACATACTGCAAGCCAACAGAACTACCATAGGATATACACTTCTAAAGCCTCAACAATGAAAAGCCCCAATCATAGAGCCATATTATTATACAATAAAGTCCTTAATAATATTAAAAACATATTTGGAAAAAAAAAATCAATGCTTTGGTGAAAAAATACTTAACAGAAATATATCACTATAAATTAAAAGAACTTGTAAAATAGAAATTGTAATATTTTATTTTCATATGTATCTCTCCATTTTTTAGGTATTTTTTTTATGAAAGTATGTATGTATATGATATTTTAATATATTCTTTCTCAAAAAACTTAGTTATTTCTAATCCAAAATTTAAGACGTGATTATGGATCTTAGTGATGCTTACTGCAAATATATGTGTAATATGTGCAGTGACTGTTTTAAAATTCTAAAATAAATTTGTAAACCATATAAAAGTTCCTTTATTCCCCTCAGCATTTAAATTATGAATTTCACAAGAGTCTTCAATGGCATTTATTATTTTCAAATTGCTTCTCAAAGAATTGCACAATAGAACCACTTGTTATTAAACGTTTCATGTACATAGGGATGGGATATTTAAAAAAAAAACTGTTTATAATAGTTTTCTACCTTTAATATTTGATTTTACATAATGATTATTGATTTAGAGACATCAAAAAGCATAACTTTTTTTGTTTTCAAATTTCTTTTTTAATTATCTTCTTCTGACAACTTGTAGCACAATTTTTCAAAGGAACTGACCACTTTTAATTGCCACTAATATTTAATTTTTCAACATCTCAATGAATATTTTTATTTCATCAATATGCATCATGATTGTTAACCATAACACATAGGAGGTAAGGAAATACAAAAAAGTATATCAGATAAGTCTGTGTTCTTTGTTGAAAAATGTTGTGAAAAATGTTGCATTTTTCTACAGTCTACCAGAGCCTTGAAATAGAAGTTTATTTGCATTTTAATAATCCGAACACAATACTTATAATTAACAGATTTTAGTGACTATTACAATACTAGTAATATTTAATAGGAATAGCATTTTTAGATATTACTTTGTAGTGCTATCCTCATTTTAACAGAAATTTTAGTACATATGAAAAACAACATTCAGCAGCATAAATAATAAAAGTAAAATATAATTTTCTAGAACTAGAACAAAAATTAATCAACAACGAAGGAAAATAGTTAATTTAAGAATTAAGAACAAACTACAAAAGAAAGAAACTTTGATAATTTATTATGAAATTCTTTGGATTACAATCACATTTAACAGGAAGTTGCTAAGCAAATTTTATGCATTTTCCTTTGACTAGGACCATCCAGTCACCTGAGCATGAAATTACTCACATCAGCAGCAATGTGCTGCTGGAAAGAATATGTGTACAGTCTCTATGGCACAATAAAGAATAATAAAATAATTTACATTTAGATATGTAACACTGGTAACCAACTTTCTTAAAAGGCATTTTTGTCAAATTTTAATATTTCTATAAGACTAACCTTTATAAACAAAACATACAGAAATTTGTCCATACAAATAAACACTTAACTTCCCTGTATGTTTTTTCCAAATTTTCAAACAAAAAAAATGTTATTAGAACATGAACAAACTCTCATTCGAATAGAAATGTATTTTATATCTATCACAATGTTTTGAAGAGAGGCATTAAGAACATTTATAGAAAATTTTACTTAACTAAATCAATCCTATAAGCACATATCTTGTGCCTACATATGTTTTCATTTACACTGGTTCCACTGCCACTGATATGTAGCAAATTAAATGCCTTCTATAAAATTTAAGTTTCACTTGAAAGACTCTCTTCTTGTGATGCATCACGCTGAGTACGATCTTTATCACTTTCTTCTGCATCACACTCACTACTTGAATCACTAGATTTACTTTCACCATTTGAGGAAGATGATGAACTTGTTCCTGAAGATGAAGATGATGAAGACGATGAAGAAGTTGATGAAGACCCTGAAGAACTATTGCTAGAGCTTGAATCACAGCTACTGCTAGCAGAAAGACGACTTTCACCATCATCAGGAACCAGGACTTCAGGTTTTTGATTGTCTGAGACATTTTCTAATATTTGAGAGTCATCACCCTCCACGTCCACGTCCCCATCTTCACTATCTTCACTTTCTGAGCCATGCTCATCATCGTTGTCACCATCAATGTCATCATTATCTTTAGAGTTACCAACACACACTTTTCTGTTTTTTATAGAATTGTCAGCATGTGATTCTGATTTTCTGGCAGTTCTTCTCCTTGTCATTTTCTCAATTTTTGACGACATCCTGGACTCTTCTTCCGAATCATTTTCAACAACAGTCTCACTTCTATTAGCATTGTCATTTCCACTATTTTCATAATCTTCAACATCACAAGCATCATCATCATTTTGGTCAACACCTTCATCAACATCATATCCACTGTTCCCTTCTTCACAACCATCATCATTGGCAGTGGTGCTGCCAACACCACTGTTGCCACCTCTGTTTACATTCTTCTCTACACCTTCTCCACTACCAACATTTGCTGCCTCCAGCTTACAAGATGCTGCTTTCTTTTTGGTTTCTATTTGTGAAGCAACTTCATCTGCACTTTCACAATTATTTGCTTCAACACCAGTTCTGGATGAAGCCTCTGAGAGTGGTTCACCAGTTCTGATGTCAACTAATATACGACTTTCCTGAGAATTTTCATCACAAATCTGCAACTCCACAGGCAATGGAGGATAGAATCTGAAATCAAAGATAATTTTTATGTGATTAAAAAGATAAACTAAAACACTGAAAACAATACTGCATCTATTTAATACACAATCTTTTTGAACAGATTACATTGAAATACTCTGAAAATAAATAGACTCACCTCTCAAAGCCTTCCCCATTGGTTCCTTTGTCCTGGAATACCAAAGTATGAGTTTCACTGTCTTTGCCAGGCATTTGTACCCAGATCGTCAATTTCTCCAAGCGGGTGTACGCTTCAGGTCGAAGTTTTCGTGGAGCGTCAAAGTGCAATTTTACATGTTCTCTCAAGAAATGAAGTTGTGGCGCCGAATAATCACAGTGCTGGCAAGTGTATGCTCCACATGCTCCAGAAACTGCAGCGTGTCGCTTCGCGTGGCTTTCCAGCCCATCTCGCCGTGCACTCGCATACGGGCAATGGGCACATCTGAACAAGGTCTTGCGGTCTTCATCGCATCGTAATCCCACACTGACACGTTCTCTAACTTGGTCCAACATTTTCGCTTGCTGTTCCGCTGCAGTGAGAACTTGCTTGCTGGCTCCACCGCTTCCGATGGTTTTGGTAGAGCGAGGGGCCAGAGGAGTGGGTTTGGGCGAGTCTTCTTCTGACATTTCCTCGCCGTCTTCAACAGGAGCTGTAAAAGTAGATTCTGCCGCACGGCGAGCCGCATGGGCTTCGTCGTTGTGTTGATGTTTGCGTTGGTGTTGAATGAAATTTGCGTAGTACTTAACGGAGTAGTCGCATTTCTCACATTTGTAACGTTGCTTTGACCCATGAAGTGAGAGGTGAACTTTGTACTGTTCTCTCTTCTCAAAAGCAGACGGACATTTGTGACATTTGTATCTTTTTTCTTTCAAACGACCGTTCTTAAAGTACATAGGATAAACAAACTCAGGGTTACCATGCATAAGAGTTCCAAACTGAGGATCCGCAGGCAGGTCAATTGATAATCTGGCACCAGTAGATTCTGTTAATTTTTGAACTTCTGCTCTCTGCTGAAATAAATCTGTTCCAGACAACGGAACCGTAGTCGAATGTTTAGGTTTCACAGCCAAAAGCGAAGTAGATAAAACTTCACTATCGGGGTGTTCATGAATCATCTCATGTTTCACTAAATTTCCGTAAGTTTTTACTCTGTAGTCACAATACTTGCACCTGTAGTTCCCAGTGCCACCGTGTAAGGTTTTGTGGTACTCCAGAGCAACGCTTTTGAAAAACTTTGCTGGGCACTGGGTGCAAGAAAACTGTTTAATTACGGGGCGCGGGGGCGGGGGCGGGGTGTCTTGAAGGTCCTCGGCGTCGTCGAATTCGGGAGGGGCTGCGGGGCCGGTGCTCAGCCCGTCGGACACCACCACCCACACGGGGCCGGAGACCCCGGGCCCTTCGACGATGACGGCGGTGCGCGGCCGCGGGTGCGCGGGCGAAGTGGGGTACAGCGCAGCCAAGGAATCGGAGCGCTCTTGATAATCGCCAGAATGCACTTTAATATGCGCTAATAAATGCGGCCTTTGGCGAGCTGTGTAGTTGCAGGATTCGCAACGATGGGCTAATTTTATTTCATGGAAACGTTTGTGTATGTTCAGTTCTTTCATGACGAGGAAACGAGCAGGGCATTGCTGACAGAACATCAATACTTTCGCTTCGTCGGTCGGAACTTCTTCCTCCAAGGAAGGAGGAGGTTCGGAAGCGAACGGAGGTTCGATGCGGAAATCGACCGTCTCTTCCTGAGCGTCCTCAACCCCTTGGTTCAGGTCTTCGTTCGTCTGCGGCAACAACAGAGGAGGCAGACTGTCGCTGGCCGCGCCCAGTTCCTCCAACTGGGCTTCGTCCGATCTCGTGAGGTCGACCAGCGCGCGGACGGTCCCGTAGGCGCCCTGGTGGACTTTCATGTGCGCAGACAAAACTCCGGCGTTGTGGCAGCCGTAATTGCACAGCGGGCAGCGGTGGGGCGGCAGCGCTTTGGGCGAAGATTCTTCCCCTTCAGAATGTTCATCCACTTCGTCTCTGCGGTGCATTTTCTCGTGCTCCATGATGTTTGCCTTTCTTTGGTTGACGTGAGGGCACCACCGGCATTTATAGAGTTTATCGAAGCGGCCGTTCCGAGACACCCACACCAGAGGGACTTCGGGCAGCTGGCGGGTGTCGAGGTCGGGCACCTCTGCCCTCAAGGCCCCGGACGCCGCCGCCTCTTCGTCCCCGTCGTCCAAACCGTCCGCCTCTGGTCGCTCGTTCTCGGCCTCCCTGCCGGGGCTCCGCTGCGGCGGGATCAAGATGCCGTGTACTCTCAGATGCTGGTGCAACAAGTGCCGACGGCTCACGCTGTAGGAGCACAGGCCGCATTTGAACGGGGCTCCTCGGGGACGGTGAAATTGCTTGTGGTACAAAAACTGACTTTTGCTGTTACTGACATAAGGGCACCCAGCGCATCGATAACGCTTCAAAGAACTGCCAAAATCGTTTCCTCCCATTTCGGACTCGTTGAGCACTTTGCAAGGAGAGGTTGAGTCTCTAGGGGCCATTTTGGTTCCTTGAAGAGCTCTTGACAAGTGTTCCTCTGGTTCTGACACGCCGTGTAGTTGTAGATGGTCATGTAAATCTCTACGATCAAAACAAAAAAAGGCCATTAAACAAAGCTGAATCATTAAAAAGGATAATGAATAATTCGAAATACATTCATATTATGTATTTTAACAAAAGCCGTCCGTGAAACGTGGTTTCTCGTGTTTGTTTTCCGTGAGCGAAAGTGCAATTTTATCACAGTGTGCGAAACATCGCGAAGCGTGAGCGAAACATCTCTAACGATTCGCAATACTGTCTTTCATTTTGACGACGTTTTAGTTTATTTCCAAACAATAGTGTTACGACACTGACAGGAATCCATTTACTTTTGTAAAATTAAGGTATTTCTAGTTATTTGATATTAATTTATAACCCTTTACTCCGCGCATTGCGTTTCGCTCACGGCGTGTTCAAAAAATAGTATTCGCAACCCGGGCGCGAGGTGATTCCCGCTCTCGCTACTCTCGGACGACAAACTCGACTCGTGCGTGAATCACCTGTTTCGCGCCCTTGCTACGTAAACTATTTTCTATTTCTCACAATACTTTACTGAGCAAATGTTCACCACATCTCTTTGTATTTGACAAAAGTATGTGCTTCGATACTTACGTTTTCAGTGCCACATAGTAAGGGCACAGGTAGCACTTGAATATCGCTCCCTGCTGGGGCTGGTGCTTCTGTTGGTGGCGATTCAGATCCTCCGGGTCCAAGCAAGCGAAAGGGCACACAGGGCACTGCAGAGGCTCAGCGAGGGCGCTCCCGCCTTCTGCAAGGGCAAGGGCAGGAAATCAAGCGCTAATAACGCAAGACCTTTACAAATCCAATTCCTGCTTCATATCAGCTCTTTAAGATGTACCTGAGTTGTCTCTCTCTTCCTCTTCGTGCTCTGGGGCATCACTCGCACTTAATCCCTTGCCTAAAATGCCCATAGAATCAATGGGGTATTTTTGGGCTGTTACAATTTGCACATTGCCATCATGCTTCAGTCGGCAATGGCGCTGAAATAGAGATATTGTCAGTTTGCAAGCATACACTCGTGAATTGGTTAGAAGGTAGAAAGGAAGCAAAAGCATATCACACTCAAACACAATTGGCCTGAAGAGACTTAATTGAAAATAACAAATTTTGTCTGGAGAGCAACCATTGCGATCTTATTATTTTCTATACAAACCCATTATTTAGTTTTTAATTATCTGTAATTTTCAATCAAGAATTCTATTCAAGAATTAAAATTGTATTAACTAACAACATCATCAGAAGAATGAGGAGTGCACATAGGAGTTCGATGCAGCAATTGCGGAACACAACGTGAGAAGCATGCCACAGGTACACACAAAATGAGTTGAGGCCCTAGGTCCAGAGAGTAGCGCAACATCGATGCAGCCATTTTATGTCCTCTGGTCTGTTTGCTCCGCCAGGCAGATTTCAGAAATTGACAAGAAATGATAACAGCTGGAGGCATGATGAAGATTTCCGAACATATTAATATCGATGTTCGATACATTGGTGGCTTCCACCACACACAATACGGAACAGTTCAAATTCCCTGACTGCTGAAATCATTGCTGGCGCTGGCTTGGGCAGGCCGGGCAGTCTCCCGGGACCCGCAGGTCAAGCGGCCTAATGATGAGACTGATGGAAAAGTAGTAAAAATCGAAAAATGAATTAGAACTCGAGAAAATCGTTAACGATATTTTATAAGTCGCGGTATTGTAGACTGATATTTCATAAAATTTTTCAATTAATCCTTTTTACCTTAAATATTGAATTATAGTTATTACTTATAAGGTAGGACTGTATGAAATGAATCAAATGACATCAACCTTAAAATAGGTTCTATTGAAATTTTTATTATTATTTCATGTATTTAACAAGTAACTTTATTAAACACTAACTAAATACAAAATTTTATACAGTGTTTTAAGTTCATTGTGGAAATTGCATTATTTGATCACTAAATACTTTTACTTAAAACTATTATTAAAATATATTTTGAAAACCTCTTTCCAGCTTAAACTTAATTTTGGATGTTTGTTAAAATAAAATAACCCTTATTTTTTCCTTGATAATAACTCTTATTAGTTTCGGGGGAGGGGGGAGCTACGGGGCCCAAAATTGTCCAGCTCAAGCTCTAACCAGGCGGAATCGGCGGTGCGTGCGATTGCGCTCCTCTCTGTGCCGAGGGACTCTAAAAACGAGAAAGCGTGACTGGCGGGACGGGTGGGTAGGAAACAGAAAGCTGTACCTGGATGACATGCTTCCAGTGAGATACCTGGCCGCAGAGGCCGCATTTGAAGCGTGCCGCAACACTTGCCTCGCTTTCCGATACGGGAGTCGGCGCGTCAGCTGCTGAACTCGGGGCAACGGCCTGAGCTCGTTGTTGGTAATGTTGTTTGACATGCGCAAGGACTAATTCACGTTGAGGATCCCTGCAAGAGGTAAGCTTGGATTAAAAAAAAATGCTCACCTTGTGAACGAATTATATTTGTACAACTTTCGATTTTACTTTCCCGCTCTTACTTCGTAAGAGGAGTACGTATAGCAACTGAGGGCCGGAAAACGTCGAAATTTCGACAGAAAAACTATTATTGCGGGAGGCTAGTAACGAAAAAGTGCATGTCTTGTTCATATGTAAAGCACATTACTCCATTTAACACGTTTTGTGGATGTAAGATACCAAAAAATCGAGTGATGGCAAAATATCCGTCTGTCTGTATGTTTTTGGACGTCTTTCCACTATAATATAACTATCATATTGAAAGTAGAAATTTTTTCCTTAACGAAATCTGTTCTTTAAAGGCATCTTGAAATACCGTCCTGTTCAAAGTTTCGAATATAAGAGCAATTTTACGTGAAAATGGGTTTTTTAAACAATTGTTTTCTCCAAAACCGCTGTAAACTTTTCTTCTTGCTCGTATGTATTAAAGAAAGGTAAAAAAAAATGGGTCTCTTCCCATTTCCAAAAGTGTTAGAAATTTGCAAAAAAGGAACATCCTAAAACTTGGAGTTAAATATTTATTACTTAAACAAAATGTCCTAAAAAATTTGATCTTTAAAAATGTCATGTACATATTTGGGAAAATACAGTAGTTTTCGCGCAATTTATCTTTGAATTTAATTCAAATTATAAAAAAGCAAAAATATTTCTTCAAAATACAGTTGTAATTTTTTCCTCAATCTTTTTCCACGGATAGAACAAGGAAGTCTTAAAAGAGTGGAGCAAGTTTTATTTTCGTTGAACTCTGCAAGTTTTCGAAACTTTCAAATTGGGAAATAATGCGTGAAATTCTATGCTAGTGTAGCACCACTAGTTTCACTTTCTCGCTTGTGTACCTATAAATAGAGCAGTTGTAGGATTTGTGCTACAGAGACAGTTGTGTCGTGCGGCGGAAAGGCGATTTAGAGATTTCAACGGAAATTCGCGTTTTGGGGTACCGTGATATTCAAAAGGATTATTTTCAGAAAATGTCCATACGCGAGTGTCTGTCCGTTCGCGCGTGTGTGCGTGTTCGTGAGTTTCGGTCCGCGCAAGAGTCTGTCCGTCCGTCCGTCCGTCCGTCCGCCTTCCGTCTGTCGTTTGTCCATCCGTGGTTGGGGAGCCAGAGCGCTCGCAGCGAGCTGTGCGTGTACTCACTTGAAGTTGCACTTCTTGCACTTCCAGAGCGTGCGCTTGGCGTCGACGGGCGCCCTCTTGGCGGGCGGCTCCTGCTCGTTTTGAGGGGCGAGCGCGGGCGCCGTGCCGGGGGC